AAAGTCCCAGGAGGAAGCGGAGGAACAAGTCCAGGTGTCCATTTGGACTGTGTAAAGCCTCATCCACGGCATTCTGGTGGAAGAGTGTTAGTGCAGATTCTTCTTTTGTTCCAGATTCCTGGGAGGTTGTTTGTTCTTCTTCCAGCAGATTGACTCCAGAGGTGATGAAGGTCAGATGGACATGAAGAGCAGCCAGAAACTCCTGAACACTCAGATGGATGAAGCAGAAAACCTGGTCCTGGTACAGCCCTTTCTCCTCTTTAAAGATCTGTGTGAACACTCCTGAGTACACGGAGGCTGCTCTGATATTGATGCCACACTCTGTCAGGTCTGACTCATAGAATATGAGGTTGCCTTTCTGCAGCTGCTCAAAAGCCAGTTTTCCCAGAGACTTGATCATCTCCCTGTTCTCTGGACTCCAGAGTGGATCTGTCCCAGCTCCTCCATCATACTTGACCTTCTTCAGTTTGGCCTGAACCACCAGGAAGTAGATGTACATCTGAGTCAGGGTCCTGGGCAGCTCTCTTCCCCCTCCGGTTTTCAACACATCCTCCAGAACTGTAGCAGTGATCCAGCAGAAGACTGGGATGTGGCACATGATGTGGAGGCTTTGGGAGCTCTTGATGTGGGAGATGATCCTGCTGGCCTGCTCTCCATCTCTAAACCTCTTCCTGAAGTACTCGTCCTTCTGAGGGTCAGTGAACCCTTTGACCTCTGTCACCATGTCCACACACTCAGGAGGGATCTGATTGGCTGCTGCAGGTCGTGTGGTTATCCAGAGGCGAGCAGAGGGAAGCAGCTTCCCCCTGATGAGGTTTGTCAACAGCACATCCACTGAGGTGGACTCTGTGACATCAGTCAGGACCCCGGTGCCATGTGAAGTGGATGTCCTGGTTGGCTTTGCCTTCAGCCCAGTCCAGGGTGAACTTCTGGGTTAAGACTGTTTTCCCAATGCCAGCCACTCCCTTTGTCATCACTCTTCTGATTGGTCCATCTCTTCCAGGTGGGGGTTTAAAGATGTCTTCCTGTCTGATGGCTGTTTCTGGTCTGACTGGTTTCCTGGATGCTGTTTCCATCTGTCTGACCTCATGTTCATTACTGACCCCCCCAGTCCCTCCTTCTGTGATATAAAGCTCTGTGTAGATTTGATTCAGAAGGGTTGGGCGTCCTGCTTTAGCAATCCCCTCAAACACACACCGGAACTTCTGCTGCAGCTCAGACTTCAGTTTACGTTGACAGACTCCAGGATCAAGCCCTGAGTGAACAAACCAGAAGTTATATCAGTGGATCCTTCAGGAAGTCAGAGACTCTAAACATGTCAGTGTGTGTAGAGTTTGTATCATCAGTGGTGACAAACAGCCTGTGGTCTGATGCAGATGTGTGTAGCGTATCTACAGCAGAGTGTGTCAGTGGAAACCTCTCCCAGGACGCCTCCACTTCCTCTTTCCACCATGTTAAACCTGTTCAAAACCTCTTACTGCTCTGCAGACGCTCAGCCAGCTCCTCCTGCTTCATCCTCCTCAGGAAGTACATTGTGATCTGCACAAATGACTCTCTGCTGCTCCTCCTCTGCTCTTCATCTTCACTGCCCAGCTCCTCCTCATCCTCCCTCTGACTCTCTAAGTAGTCTGGGTAATCTGGTCTCAGGGCCCTCTGGATCTTCTTCAGCTCGTTTTTCACAAAAGTGACCATGTTCTCCTCCAGCAGCTGGAACAGATTGAGAAAGAGAACAATAAAGTGAAACTGGTCGAACTCAACATGTGATTCCTGTGTCGGTCTAAAGGCTGCTGGTCTGAACACAGCAGCATGGAGTCTGTCAGGGCCTAAGTGGGTGTTTAGTGCTCACTAGGTGGTTCCTAGGACAAAGTGTGAGTGCACAGGTACACACCATAAATATGGAGTCCAGGTCTGGCTGATGCTGCTGTGCAGACTGATCACTGTGAACCTCTGAGCTCTGCTGCTGAACTCTGGGGAGGAAACAGAGACTTGAAGGAAAAGCCAGGACCCACATCTGACACAACTTATTAAAGGTGACTGATGAGGTCAGACTCATGCAGCAATGACAGGAGGATGGCAGGCGACTCGGTCAGGAATCATGAGGGAGGAAGAAACCAGGCGGTTTTCCAGGAGATGTATGGCTCAGTAACAATCTGTTTTCCCCTCAGGAACTACATATATGTCTACATATGGCCCTGCTGGCCACAGCAGCTGCCGTCCTGATCAGCCCTCAGAGGGAAGGGCTCAGTGTCACACAGCTTTGACCTCTTTACACAGGACAAATATCAGGTCTTCATTTGACATGAAGAACTTACAACTGCAGCTGCTGAAGCCAGTTTGTACCAAACCTGGTTTACGGCAACATACGAGGCTGCTCCCACTGACTTTGTCTCTGTGTACGGGGGCAGGGCCTGAACTCAACACTGACCTTCATCATGGTTTGTTTATATTTTTATGGAAAGAAACAACTGTGGCTAAATGTAGCTGTTGATGCTAGAGATACTGGAGTCTTAGTGCTTTTAGATCTTATGTTTGATACAGTGGATCATAGAATCCTTATATCTTGCCTGGCCCAGTGTGTCAACGTTCAGGGGGCTGCTTTTAAATGATCTGAGTCATATCTGACCAGTAGGATTTTGTCTATGAATACTGGTGAGTTCTTATCCTCCACTGCTCCTCTCTCTTGTGGGGTCCTCCAAGGCTCCGTTCTCAGTCCTGTCCTTTTTCATTATAGAGGCTTCCACTGGGGTCAATTGTGAAGAATTACAGCCTAACTTTCCATTGCTGAACCAATGATATTCAAATGTACCTGCCTTTGAAAGCAACAAGGAGAAATTCACTACACAGTCTGGTTGACTGTGTGAGAGACATTACACCATGGCTGATAGACTGTGTGATGTTTGGGGGCCCAAGTTCAGCAGAGGCCCCTAATTACAACCTGGGCCCTGTGGCCCCACACTTTAAGCCCCATGTGAAGAGTCCTGGAGTGATAGTTGACAGTGCACTCAAATTAGATCAATAGATTAGCTCAGTCAGTAAATCTAGTTTCCTTCAGTTGAGACTTCTATCCAAGCTGAAGCCTTTCCTGTCTTTTAATGGTTTGAAAAACGCAAGTTAAGCTTTGATCGGTTCTAGTTTAGATCACTGAAACACGCTATGTGCTGGAGTTAATCATTCATCCATTTCCCATCTTCAGCTAGTGCAAAATGCTGCTGCTCATCTTCTAACTAATGCATGTAAACATGACCACGTCACCCCAGTCTTGCCTCAAGTCACTGACTGTTTTACAACTGATTTTAAAAAGCTTCTGTTTGTTTCTAAACCTTTAAATGGTCCAGCAGCCCCTGTCTCACAGAGTTCTTATATCACCACATACAAGAAGAATCTGCCAGGTCTTTTAACCAGTTATTGTGTGATGTGCTAAAGTCAAAGGTGAAATTTAGGAGTGACTGAGCTTTTGCTGTTGCAGATGTCAAAGAGGTTGCAGGCCTGAAACTGTGGACCAGCCTTCACCAGATATCAGTCTGCTACTGCCAACAGCTGACAAAAACAAAAAACAAGCCCTGGAATAACAGGGGCGAGCCGGGAACTTAGAGCTGGGACCTCCTGAGGAGCGTTCTCCGTGACGCACAGGGTGGGGGTAACCTTGGCGGGGACACTTCTGTCAGTGCACTGAAGGTAGGACGCGGGGACATTCTTGTCGGCACACCAAGAACCTCCTCTTGCCGAAGGAACGTCAACCTCAGAGGTTTGAGATGCAGGAACAGGCAATGCAGATTGCCTTCAACACCTATGGCCGCGGGGGACAGAACATGGTTGTGGCTTGGAGATGGGCTGAAGATCTGACTGGGGTTGATGCTGCAGCAGGGAACCAGGCTGGGGTTGTGGAGGCAACTGCTGCAAACCAGGCTCGAGCTGCTGCAGCTGCTGGGGGGCTGGCTGGCGTTGGCCCTTCCTTCTGCTCTTCCCTCCATTGTAGTGGTTAAAACAAACAGTATATGTCTAGTAGTTAATTCTTTGTTAACATATTCCTGATTAACGTGTTATGGGATATATTACATAAATGTCTCTTAGAATAGATATTAAAATAGACTTCTAGTGTTAGGATAGGAAAATACTTGTGTAACTAGGAAAGGTCAGCGACCTTCTGTTTTCTCTGTGCTGCTCGAGGAGGAAGTCAGATGGTCAGGAGTTTTCCCTAAAGAAGGAGATGACAGTGCAAGGCTGAGCTAATAAGGAAAAGAATGTAAAGGAGGGTAAAGGGAATAAAAAGTAGCAGGGGGGTTGATCAGGAGTGGTGTTGTGCGTGAAGACCCTGGGGGAGAAGTGACCAGACTACCTGACTTCCTCTGCAGAGTGACAAAAGACTAAAGGACTAACAAGGTGCTCCTCTTTCCCATCCACAATCACATTTCAATAATATTGTTCAATAAATGATTCTTGGTACTGCAGTAATTTCCCTTGTGCATTGATTTTACCCACTATACCATCCAGGACCTCCCGGACAAAGGGCCAACCGAGTACCGGCAGAGGGTGAGGAGTCAAGACTGGTGGGGACTGGAGCAGGATTGAGGACTGGAGACATGTAAATGGCGCCCAGGTGCAAGGAGGAGCAAATGGTCCAAGGAGTCTGAGAGGGTGAGGGCCTGGGTGCTGCCTCAGGATGAAGGGACTCGCGGGATGTGGCTTCTCTCAGTGTGTGCAGCATGTGCTGAAATGCCTTCACCCACGCGAGTCCCCCCAACTCCCGGTGCTGGGTCCATATTTGGCTGGTTCATTCTGTTACTGGCCCAAGTAACTGAGGAAGGGCTAGCACCTGAGTTTGCTGAGTCCATGTTTGGCCAGATCATTCTGTTACGGTGGGGTTTCCCTCACCAGGGGGTGTGAGAGAGAGAGAGAGAGAATGAGGACTCAGGGTGCAAACTCATGTGCTAGTGGGAAAGTGTCTTTATTGCTATATACACAGAGGAGGACAAAGTCAATGGGTTATGCGTGGTCCAAACCAGGGTTGAGCAGTGGAGGCTGAGAAGACCAGGATGGGTAGGTAAGCAGGCAGGTAAGCAGGCAGGTGAGCTGGCAGTAACCAGGAGGATCAGAGGACCAGGATGGACAGGTGGGTAGACAGGAGAATGGCAGGAACCAGAGGACTGTAAAGCAGCAGGCAGTCAGATAAGCAGAGTAACAGTCGCTGTCAGATAAGCAAAGTAGCAGTTGCCGTCAAGTAAGCATGGGAGGGAAGATTGCCGGTGGTAGTCATGGCAGGAAAGATTGACAACTTGTGTGGCAGCATCGAACATAAAACTCAATCTCACCATCAATGTCACTGTTAAAATTAGTCATTAATGATCTGGCGATGAAGGAGCGTCTGCCGGTGCTTTAAGTAGGGACAGTTGGTAATAAGAGGATGTGTTTCAGCTGTGCACCACACCAGGGAGTGAATTAGCAGGTGGTGCATCTCAGCTGTGTTGCCGAGCCTGCAGGACGAGAGCGGGAAAGAGAAAGGGGAAGAGAGGCAGGTAGCACCGACCAGGCCTGACAATTACAACTAGATATTCTAAGTTAAATTAGCATGAAATTAAATATACCCATTTACATTAACAAGAAAACCTTAGTTGATTCCACTAATATCCTCTCTGGTGTTTTACAGTGTACTTGTACATTTGCAGTACCTTTGTGTGGGGACCCTGAATTTTCCATTTGGACACCCAACTTAAGAGTTTCTACTGAAATATTATAAATGTGTCAATAAGTATGTTGCATAACAGTGGGTGCTGTTTAAGGCTTAGCTCCACCTCCCAGGACCCTCCTGGAAAACAAAGGACAGCAATGGCTGTAGAGAGCCACTGTTTCATGTGCTAGATGGAGATGAGAGACACCGGCCAGGAGCTGTGGCAACATGTCTGACAGCAGTGTGAGATCCAGCTGCTGTCTGCTTGACCACTCAGAAATTCAGGGCCCAGCTCACTAGTGTGGCTCACCTGGCACCTTTAAAGCCTGAATGCCCTCTATTTGTTTGTTTACAAGGTACCAACAACAACTGTGGAACTGATGGAGGAAGATGAGCAGCTTCCTCAGCAGTTCAGTCCTGAAACAAGACACGAGACACCTTTGTAGGAGAGGCAGATAATAACAGGGTTAAAGTAATTATTACCTTTTACCAGCAGGTTGTTCAGATTTAAATTTAATAGGTTGATGCATAGACCGGTCACTCTTCATGGACACACGGCTGGGTTCAGGACAATCTGGTCTCTGCCGCCGCCTCCTGATTCCAAAAAAAGGAGGTTTAATTTAACACCTGAGCAGGTGGTTCCATCTAAAAACAGATTATAAAGCTCTGGACCAAGTTACAATTTATCTCCTGATGAGAGCCAAAACAAAAACAAATTTCAGTTTCCATTCTTACCTTTTACCAGCAGGTTGTTCAGATTTAAATTTAATAGGTTGATGCATAGACCGGTCACTCTTCATGGACACACGGCTGGGTTCAGGACAATCTGGTCTCTGCCGCCGCCTCCTGATACAAACAAACAAGTGGCAAATGAAAAGTAGATTGAACCTGAAAGCAGCTGAACTGGGAGCAGACTGGGACCAGTTGAAATGCTGGAAGCAGACAGAAAACCAGTAAAAAGCCAGTGGATAAGTAACATTCTCCTGTTCACCACCACGTGTCTGATGACAGACGCCGTCTCATCTTGGTCGACCGGTCAGGTCTCTGTTCATTCAGACAGTCAGTAGTTAATGAGGAGCTCTGAGCTGCTCCTGAGCAGCTGAGTGTCAGATGTGACAGTGAGTGTGAATCCTGATGGTGCAGTAATGTGTGGTGCTGAGCTCTGACATGGAGAAGAGTCCTGGACAGTCAGAAATCCTCATCTCACCTGGGAGCTGTGCTCTGGCTCTCATGGTCCCCACACAGAGGGCTTTCAGAGGGACGGCCTCCCTCCTCTCTGTCCTCACACCGACTCATGGCAGAGCTGCACTCGGTCAGTACAACAGCAGCACTGACAATGTTCCTGGGAAGATGCTCGGCTGCTGAGTTCACATCCAGTCCCAGAGACTGTGGAGCTTCAGCTGTAGAGGAAACACAGAGAGAAGATGCTGCTGATTCTCCTCCATCAGTCCGTCTGATGTCAGCAGCTTAGCTTCACACACTTACAGTCACCAGACGCAACACGCTGAGTGAAGAGGCCACATTAGGCTGTGGGACACTGGGACGGCCATTTCTCCCTTTATTCTGGCTCTGACCAGACCCGACTGGTCTCTGATGAGCCCAGACCATCATCAGCAGACTGCTCACTAATGACACAAACCCCTGCAGCTCCATATCAAACAGGTCAACAGGAGCTTCACTTCAACAGCTCCAACAGTAAAATGCTGCCGACACATGAAGGCATCAGGGACACTGAGCTCATCATGCCTGTTATAGTCCAACGCTCACGGGGTGCGTTTTACTGCACCATGGACTTGGTCTCTTGGTACTGGCACTATATGGAGCTGATAGGACGCTGGACTCTGACCTGAGGAGAGCTTTCAGTGCCGACCTGGGACCCATTGCTGTCCCTGTTTCAGTTTGACTAATGTGGCTTTTCCTGTTTTCACCTGTGTTACCTGTTTCTCTACCTGTAGACTGAGCCCCGCCTCCCTGTGCACACTCCTCCTCCTGTTGGATTGCTGGCGTTCGTCATCACCAGCCTCCAGGCTGTCAGTAGGGTCGCCTCCTTCACTAGGAAGAAATAAATGTGACATAGAAACAGCTGCTCATGAACTCTACTTCTGTCACGTAGCTCTGCTCCTTCTTGCTACTAGCAGCTGGACACGGTGGCTAACTGTTAGCACAGGGCCGAGCTCTTCTCCAGACAAACAGCAGCTTTTCACACACAAACACATGTAGGTTCGACTTGTTACAGTCCCACGAAACTAAGAGTGAGACCACAGAGCAGCTGGGACTCATTCACACACTGAAAACTGACACTTACCAAAGCTTCACACGGAGAAAAGACCTACTGCCAACAGGGAGAGAGTGAAAGTAAAAAAACCTGGGCGGAAAAAAACAACAACAGACCTGGAACCAGGAAATAACCAGAGAGACAGATGGAGAGAGAGACAAGACACAAATGGCAGCACCGTGATCATTCTAATGTCAGTGTAACATGATCACGTCAGCAGAAACTCAGACATGCTGACTTTATTTAGAGACACAAGGAGAAGAAACAACATGTTGTGAATCTGCCGAGTGCCTCTCGCAGAGGCTTTGGCTATTTAAACAAAGGACACTGTTGTCATGGAGCCGCTGAGTTCAATATTTTACTTATTTGATTTTATCCTTTATATTTCTTGATTGATGTGAGATGATCTGTGCTCTGCTCTGGGCTCACAGTTCCTGGGTTGTGTTGTTCAAATGGTAACTTTGTTGTTAGTTCACTTTTGTAAAGTTTATAAAAAAACTGTGGGCTACAACTTGAGCCTCGTTGTTTTAGTCTATGTTTGTTCACTTTTTCACCCATCTCTTCATTAATCACTCAGTTTATGAGCTGTTACCAGCTCCTGTTTGCAGTGTGCCTGTAGATGTACACACAGCTCTCACTGTGTCACTGAGGGAAACTTAAAAACATGAGGATTCTCAGTGAAGTTCTGCAGATTATTTTACTCTGATTTCTAGGCAGGTTTGTGAGCAGTGATTTGTGGTGCACATCAGATTTGATGATATCCTCGGAATGTGCAGGTCACACTGAATCTAAAAATACATGTCATGTGATAATTTTACAAATGGTCAGCAGGGGGCGATCAGAACTCGGCTATGTGGGCTTCACAGCCCAGTTCAGGTGAGGAGTGACCATGATGTGGCCTGTGCTGCTGTGTTGAACAGGTAAGAGTCCTGTAAATGGGCAGCTCCTGTCACTAAATACAACATAATGGTGTGTAATTTTGCACACTCGTGTTTGGGCAGTAAATGTTACTGTGAAGTGACCTGACGTGCCAGGATGGGATCTGTGTATGTGCTGGAGTCACTGGCAGTTTTCATTTCATCCTGCCGGTTGCTGTGGAAGCAGAGGAGATAAGAACTGTGTAAAGAGCAGTTTCAGGTTTTTTCAGGCCTTTACTTTAGGATGTGCAACACTGCTTCACAACAATAAGTGGATCAGAAAACAGATAATCAGTCACTCACTGTTTTTTTTTTGAGCTACAAACAGTATGTTTATATTTAAAGTTAGGACTCGTACAGACACAGCGAGCTGGTCCTGACAGTCTGTAGATACAGGGGTGTAGGAAGGCCGGGCCCAGTGGCAGCTGCTGACAGTATACCTGCTCTTTGGCACTGTTCCCACCCCCACCCCCCGAGTAAACCCTCAGCTACTTTATCACAGCACAGTTACACTCCATCTATTGGAGGGGATTAAAAATCTAGAGGTTCTGAACAATACAGCAGCCAAACACAGACACAGAGCTCCTTTTAGGTTTTCACTGTTCCCGTGTAAAGGGGGGAAACGGAAATACAGCAGACCTGCTGATATGACAGGAGCCAAACCGACCCAAAGGGTGGGGCCCTGTCAAGGGGGTACTAAGGGTCTGAAATCAGCGACCATACAAGATAGGCTGCAGTGTCCTGCTGGTGCCGTTTGCTGCATAAATCGAGAACCCCTTGGCAGTGGTCTAGGACTTGTCTCTGCGCTGCAGAAGACAGAGACATAGTCTAAGTCTGACTTTTTATTATACCTCAGTCAAAACCTGCAAACAGACTTTATTCAAACTATTCAACTAGACAAAAAAAATGCAAGTTCAGTCAGGCAGATCGGGCCGGTAGTTGGGCCCCTTTGCCATCTTTTCATTTTGATATTCTCTTCTTTAGAGCTGCCTTGTTTGGGAAGTGAGAAGCAAGACTCCTACTCTGAGCTCAAAGGAGAAGCCCCCTTTTGGTCACAAGTTTGTAAGTGTTTATGACTTCTTTGTGGTCAGTTTGGATGTCCCTCTCAGTGGACAACACTCTCCAGTTACTTTTTCAGGCAAAAAGGTGAGAGTTTGGTAGTAGGTGACCCAGGAGGGTTGATTAATTGGTGAGTTGTCTCCACAGTGTTGTGATAGACTGCTACCATGTAAGAAAGAAAACCTACAGAGCACAGGGACTGGATAAAATTCAGGTGAGTGGTAGACAGGAAGTAAGTAATGATTTGTTCTTGTTTTCACAGGGCTGTGACCAGATAATGTCAGACCCAGGGCTCTTCAGCACTCAGGAGACTGAGAACAGGTGAGTGCAGAAGTTCAGCTGTTCTTCATATCTCATGTCCGAAATCTATTCTTATTCAAGCATCCCCATAAAAGAGAGAACTGTGCAAACACAGACAGCCCACCAGGTGTCGACATCAGACCATGAATGACTTGAAATAGCCCTACCATTTAGCTGATTTGCATCAAATATGACAACCTGAATTTGGTGCCTGTGTGGATTTGCTTAATAAATATAATGTAATGTCACAAATGTGTTAGCAATGAAGTACACCAAATTTTTGCCTTGTCCCAGGGGAGGAAAGTACAAAATCAAGAAAGTATTTGTGTAATTCAGGAAATTGCAGGGAAATAGTGATGTAATTCAGGAACAAATAGTCTGTATGTGGGAAGTTATGAACAAAAACATTATAATATTACCTCCCTGTGGCAGACCTGGCTCTGATTTTGAACAATCCTGAAAAATTGATTACTGTGGATGATCTATCAGCTTGTCTGTTTTCAGCTGCCTGGCTGTCACTGACTGCAGACTCACCCAGCTGTTCTCTATGGCAGTGGTCCCCAACCTTTTTATCACTGCGGACCGGTCAACACTTGACAATTTTACCGCGGCCCGGGGGGGGGTTACGTAGATTGTTTATATTGTTAATATAATAATAAACGTGAATCCACTGTATTGAAATTTTTAACTCCCCATAACGCTAAATCAATGGGAGCCCTGAGCCCCAGCACTCGTTTCAGTGTTGTGGTGGCGATCTCAGGGTATTCTGTCATGACTTTAATCCAGAACACCGACAGAGTTGTTGTCTCGAACATACTTTTAAGGCCGCCGTCATTTGCGATCTCCAGCAGTTGATCTTCTTCTTGCACAGACCTGCTGGATTCACCTGGTTTGTTGACAAATGGGTTGCGGATCCATTCCTTGGCAGTTCGTGGGTCCTTTGTGGTTGGGAAGTAGCGCTCGAACTCTTTTAAAAGCAAAGACAGGTGATCGTGCACCAGCTGGGAGAATGAAGGCTCAGGCTCAGTCTCACCCAAAATCCCCACTAATGTTTGAAACATGTCCAAAATGCCTCTGTGGACGCGCCGTCCCCACAAATCCAGTTTGGCTTTAAATGCAACTACTTTATCTGCCAACTTGAAGACAGTTGTCATTTTCCCCTGAAGTGACAGATTGAGTTCATTAAGCAGGCTGAATATGTCCACAAGTAAGCCAGTTTTGGCGCTCAAGTAACCGAGAGAATACGGTCATTTTTCAAAATAAAAGATCGTTCAGACTCAGATAATAAATAAAACGGAAATAATTAATGATTTCTTGTGCGGCCCGGTACCAATTGATCCACGGACCGGTACCGGTCCGCGGCCCGGGGGTTGGGGACCACTGCTCTATGGCACATGCACACAGCCCGTTATGAACAGCGCAGCCCGTGGGATCTCGTTATACACAGCGTGCCATCTGCATGTAGACAAAAACAAGCTCCATTAACCTCTTACACTGTCGTCCATAATCATGACCTCTTAGCCCAGGGCTGCCCAATACGTCGATCACAAAGGTAGTGTCGGTAGATCTCGTGTCAATATAATCAGCTTAGTTAATGCTTTCAAACGAAAAATGCAACATTTTGGGGAATTTCCAAAACCTCGAATCAGAGCTGGAGATGCAACGGAAAGCATGTGTGCAACTTGATATTACACTACAAAGCAGATTGACAATTGTCGGTCAGAGTTTGACAAGCGCTTTCAAGACTTTGCCTCACTCGAGCCAGTCACTACATTTTGGGAAGATATTGAGGTTGATTCACTCGCATCAAAAATTGCAACGCTGTTTCACCTGAACTGGTCTGGAGTGGAGGATGAGATATTGACACTACAGACTGATATTCAGCTGAAGTCCAGGGTTAATGGACCGTTTTGGAACTTACAGAGGAAAAGTACCCAAATATGAGGAAATGTGCCACTGACTGCGTTATTTGGCTCTACTTATTTAGTATGTGAGTCAGCATTTTCTCACACGGAGATTATTAAGTCCAAATACCACTCCACCATGACTGATGACCATTTGGAAATCTGCTGGAGGCTGGCTACCAGCAGCTACTGTCCGGACCATGCAGCCCTGACTGATTGCATTCAGTGCAAGTCATCAGAGTAAACTATCCATCCATCCATCCATTTTCCTCTGCTTATCCGGAACCGGGTCACGGGGGCAGC